ACCAGGATGGGGCTCAAGTTAGGTGTCCAGCATTGAAGAAACTAGGCTTGTGCACTGGAATCCATCAGAATTACAGAGTGGAGATCCAGGCGTGGTGGCTCACACCTGTAATCCCAGCACTTGGGAGGCTGAGGCTGGAGGATCATTGTGAGTTCGAGGCCAGCCTGGGCTACAAAGTGAGCTCAAAGGCTGGGGACTTAGCTCAGTGGCACAGCTCCTGCCTGGCAAGTGCAAGGTTGTGAGTTCAATTTCCGGTACTGGAAAAAAACCAAAGTGAGCTCAAGGCCAGCCTGAACTACATAGCGAGAACCTGTCTCAAAAAAAAAAAAAAAAAAAGAATTACAGAATGGAGTCATTCAGATAGTGAAGAAAGTTATCCTCAGAGATAGAATCTGCCCAAACCTTCTGGTCCTCTGCCTCACACCCCAGGGCATCTCTCTAGGTTTAAGAGTCACCTGTTTCTCCCTCCTTACCTGAGCTCCATGGCCAGATCTTCTCTTTGAATCCAGCCCCAGCTATGTGCCTACATCTGTGAACTGGACGACTTGAACAATATCCTGGTTCTTCTTTGGCCCAAGTCTGCAGGGCAGAACTACAGAAGGGAAGGCCTGGCCAGCACTTTCTCACCCATAGTACCTGAAGCTGTGTCTGTCCAGTCCCATATCCAGTCTCACACATGACATAGACCCAGCTCACTCAGGCATTGCACTCAAGAGAGGAGTGGAAAAACCCTGCTGGGGCAGCGGGCCAGCTTCAGAATTCACCTGAACTTCCCAGGGATCCTCTCTGCCACTCCTCACTTACCTTTCATCTTAATATCAAGGAGACTTGAGTTCAAATGTACCCCTTACTAGCTGAGCACCTTAGGCACGTTCACTTCTCCAGAAATGGGGATAATAAAACCCGTGGATAAGAAGCTTCTGTCCCCACTCTCCGGTGCCAACCGGACAGTTCACTGCTCCCAGACTGAGACTGAGCACTCGATAAACACTTACTGACTTGATTTATGACCAGGACACAAAGCTGTAGGCAAGGACCCACCACGGCAGCCAAGGATATCAGCTGAGTGTTTCTGGGCACCAGGGATGGCACAGCTCAGCGTATGTGGGAAGGGCTGGCAGCCTGATTGCACGGCTAGGTATAAACCTCTTAAAAGATGAATCACCACATAAGTATTTTACCATCACAGCAGCATGAGGGATGAGTCATCTCAAAAGAGGGAGAGGGAAGGGGACACGGGCAGAACAAGGAAGGAGCAAGGACCTTTCTACTCAGGCCAGTTCTCTTAGACTGTGTGTCAAAGATCTAGTATGTTTTTAATCACCTTATTACTTATAATAGTGCCTAGTGGAAGAAGAAATAATGATTTAAGCATGAGAGTCATTTTCCAATTGATTTTCTTTCTCTTCATTTCCTTTTGACCCAGTAAAGAAGGCACAGGCTCACTATTCAAAAGAATCATAACTCAGTTCTCATTCATGGATTTTGTTTAAGAAAGCGCTTAATATTTTTCTTCTTATGTCCCAGAGAACTACATTTCAGGTATTTAATCATCTTTACAGCCCCCAAATATTTGGGATTTATGGAAAGCATTTAAACTCAGTTGAAAAAAATAAAAACAGAGTGTCCTAAATTCGGGGTGAACTTTTAGTCTCATTATGGGTGTTAATTTATGATTCAACAATGATTTCAAGACTCTACGTCAAACCCTCCAAGGCTTGTATTTTCTTATTATTCAACTCTGTTTTATTCTCAGTGTCACATGAATCACACATTCAATCACACAGAGTACAGGGTCCCCCTGCCCCCATCCACATAATTCAGAGTCTGAGTCTACAGAATTATGAACTCCTTGGGGAAAAGACCATGGTAGTCCTTCGGGTATCTCATTTCCCCAATGATGAAAATGCCTAATCCTTCAAGAGTCTGATTTTGGAGGGGATCAGAGCTCCTGGGAGCCAAGCTTCAAAGCCAGAGTGTATCTGCCACTCTGAAGAAGGTTCCCAGCTACTGCAATTCCATGAGGAGTTACTCCAAAGGAATGTGTGCTCACTAAAGTGGCCTTAATTTCTTGGTATGCATAGTAGCGCTTTTAGGAGGTGAAGAAGGAGCTGAGATTTGGGGCCTCAGTTTTGGCAGCCATGTCTTCTCATCTTAAGAGACAGAGAAAGTGCTTGGAACCCACTGGGCAGCGAGGTAGGGCTTCCAGGCAGTTTTGGATGGCAGGGGGAATTACAGTAGTCCCCAACTTCCTCCCACTGCCCAAGGCTGTGGGCACACCATGAAACACCTCTGCAGGTGCCATCCTGAGGAACTCCATGCATGTCACCCACCCTGGCTTTGAATCTCTGTCTCTGTCTTCCCTGGGTGTCATCCTGCTGTCTTCCCACCTTGCATCTCTCTTTCTAACCAGTGCATTCAAACTGATTTGTTTCGGTATCTGTCAGGATTTGGAGCTCAGCTGTTGTCCAAAATGACCTGCTCACAACCCTTGTCTGTAGACAGTAAAGGCCTCACCTTCACCCCCCACCCAAGGCTCTGGGATGCCCAGGTTCTGTCTCCCTACAAACCTGATTGGACAGCTGGTGTAGCTGACACCCCCAGCGAGAGCAAAGTGCAGCCTGCACTTTGTCACTTGCCGGTGTCTCTGAACCCAATCCTCATTCTCCTGCAGAAAGCCCAGCTGCCTCCTCCACCTTTTCCCACCAAAGCTGGCCCTCTAAGCCAGGCCTGGTGATGGATGCCTACAATCCTAGCACACTGGGAGGCTGAGGCAGCCCCAGACTGGCAACATACCAACTTAGCAAGACTCCATCTCAAAATAAAAAATAAAGTAAGAGCCGTGGATGTGGTTCACGATGGCCTGGGTTCAATCTTCAATATCACAAAGAAAAGATTAAAAAAACAAATTAAGCTGGCCTTCCAGAGGCATACTGAGGTCTGCTTAGAAGCAGAAGTACTTTTTCCACAGTGTGTCGCGTGAAGCGGGGGTGGGGTGGGAGGCAAACATGCAAGACAGAGATGACAATGGGAGAAATGCGGCTGCCATACTCAGGAGCCCAGCACCCACCAGAAGCCAGGCAGAGGCAAGGAAGGAGATTTCCTTACAGCCATCAGAGGAAGCGGGCACTGCCAGGACCTGCATCTCAGACTCTGGCCTCCAGGACCAAGAGACCATAAGCTTCTGTTGTTTCAAGCCACCCAGCTGTAGTGACCCATTAGTGATCCTTGGGAACTGATATATATACAGCCCAGGGGCAAAATGACATAAAAAGCAAACCGTGAGAGAAGAAAAGCAAATGGCAGTAAAAACGTAAACAGTGGTCAACCTCAGTGGTAATCAAGGAAATGTGACGTAAAACAATGATCTGCCCTTTTTGCTCTTCAGGTAGCAAAGATTGAAAAGAATTACAATGCCTGGGTTGGCGTGGGGACGGGAAATGTGCTGCTACTGGGAGTAAGTGGGAACAAATCCTGCGGACAGTAATACGGCGATGGATCCCAGAGCTGTGAACTCATCACAGTCAGGGAAGTAATTGGGTAAGTGTGCAAAGAGCTATGCGTAATACCATTTCCATCTGAGCACTGCTTATGATAGCAAAATAAGAAAGGAAAGGAATTTAAAGTTCAAACAATGGGGAATTGTTAAATAATTTATGTTATGTTCTCACAAGAAAATTATTATGGAGCCATTAAAAATGACGATGTCAATCCATATTTATTGACAGGAGAGATGTTCAAATATTTCGCTAAAGGAGGAAAATGCCCAGTCATCTAATGTCGTGTGTGTGGTGAGAACAAAAACAAGGATACGCACCCTATTACTGGATTGTTTGTCTTCTGACTTTCTAATTTTTCTAAAGTGGAAATCGATACTTTAAAAAATACATATGGTAAGGAGATGTGATGGATCTGAGCACTTCCCCTGCAGAGCCACATTCCGATGTCCCTGGAGGAGATGGTCGTGAGGACAGCCTTCCTCCACCCATGGAGTGCTCGGCACAGGCCGATAGTGTGGAATTGGCAAGGATGAAAGATGCCTCTCCTCTTGCTGCTTTCGGCTTTGAAACCCTTTCCTGATCTCCATACCTCTCCCCAAATCAACAAGTGTTTTCAGTTCCCATTCCAGGTTCCTCTGCTCCTCTTGTCACTGTGACTAGTGACAGGATGGGTGCTCCAGCTGCCTTTCAATCATGGTCCACATTCCTCACCACAGCATGAGCCCATGAAATCAAAGACATCTGGTCCACCTGCACCTCCAGCACTGTGCCTGCATCACATGTGTTTATTAGATCAAAGTGAATCATGCAATTTCTAGAACTGAAAGGGTCTTGGCAATCAATAACCTCCAACTTTCTCATTTTGTAACTAAGGGGATAAAAGGCTCAGTTAATCAAAATGACCAGCCAGTGGCCAGGCCAGACAAGAGGCCAGAGTCCTGAGCCCGACTCCCAGACTGCATTTCCCGGGGCACCAGGTTCCTCCCACACTCTGTCCTCAGGCCCTGTGAAGGGCCTGCTCCACTCTTCCCCGAGTCCTCCCTGCCCTTTGCAGCCCTTTCCTGTCACCTCATTCATCCCCTGTCCCATGCCCTCCCACCCCTGGCCACAGCCCTCGGCACCCTCCACCACCTCGCATCTCAGTCTCTGCCCAGGGTAGCTCCTGGGCTCCCCTGTGTGTGGTCACCATCTGAGGGTGCAGACAGTGAGTGGTGCCCCTGAGGTTCCTTCGGTCCTCACACCCACTTTCCCAGCCCATGTTTAGGGTAAATCCATTACTCAGATCTGGGGCAGCTTAGCCTTGCCTGGGTGACAGCTCCGAGGTCTCCACTTCAGCCCAGAGACGCCCCTGCTGAGGGTGCTCACCCACAGGTGCAGACTCTTCTACCCTGCCTGTCCCTCACTGTAGCAAGGCAGCCCATGGCTGGGCCACCCCTGGCCTCCCTCAGAAGGACAGCCTGGCTTATTTCCACTCCATGTCCAGGGCTGAGGGATGGGCTCTTCATTCCCCAGAGCACAGGACTCTGCTGATCCTTAGACCGAGTCCCAGCACTGCCTGTGGGTAGGATGAAAGGAAAGCAGGACCCTAGCAAGGGTCAACAGGTGAGCCAAGCTGCTGGAGCACCCCACCAAACCGAGTTCCAGGCCTTGGGAGGAGGGCAGGAAGCCAGGCCGGCAGAACAGGCTCCGGCCCCTCAGTCCACAGACATGCTCCATGCTCGGCTCCTTTACACATTTTCAAAAATATGTAACCTGCTCAGATTATGTTTGAAAAATGGGTACCACTGTTAAAATCAAGGTTTATCGAAGAATGCTGAACTAGGGTCCTGGAGGAAGACTACTAGGTCTCAGGACTAAGGCAAAGATTCCGTTCTCATGATTCTCATTCAGTCATTCATGCGTTCACCAAATATTCCGAGTCACTGCCTGTGCCATGCATGAGTCAGGTCAGGCCACCTGGCTTCACAGAGGCGCAACCCGCTGATACTGAAGGCTGGCTCTGAAGGCTGACAGCCTGCCTCGATCTGAACTCTGCTTTCTAAAAACCCACCCCCAATTCAGGGTTGCACAGGGCAGCAAGCATGTACTGTGCGGAGTGGGCGGGGCTCGAGGGCTGGCTTACCTCTGCGCACACTGTAAGCAGCTGTCCACGCACCTGCTTGCTTTCCCGGGGGCGGGGGGCAGTTCCCAGAGCGGGTGTCCCTGACAGAAGGGACAGCGGCAGCTGCCTCTTCCAAGGCCCAGAGCTGCATAGTCACAGCCTCAGGGAGAGGGGCGCGGGCTCCACACAGTGACCCAAGAGGCATCAAAGATGTGGGAGGTCAAGTCCTAAACGCTTCATCACCTGCAAATTGGGAAGAAAATGAGGCCAGCTGTGGTGTGCAGGTGTGGACTGGAGCCCGAGCGGACCTGGAGCCCTCTGTGAATGACCAGGTCACAATGTAGCTGCAGGAATGCCACACAGGGCCCTGGCACTGCCCTGCAGAGCGACCTGGGATTTGCGCATGCGCCCTACTCAAGGCCACTCCCTGTAGATTGTGCGATGACCGCGGAACCTTCCCAGCCCCAGAAGTGTGTAGGTTCCAAAAGCTTCTTGGTTCTGCATCCACCCCTGACTCGCTTCATCTCTAGGCTCCTCGCCGAGGTACTCAGGATGCAGGGCAGATATCTGTGCTTCACCGTGTGCCTCATAAATGGCTACCCTGGCCCACTGCTCTGTCACTGCCGGGCACCAAGTACCCCTGGCATCATCTCCTCATCTACTCCATCAGCTGATATGGTGTTGTCTGAGCAGCTTGTTGGTTCTGGAGATCCAGAGTTGCCAAGAACTAAGGCTTCCCCAGCATACGGGTTCCATACGAGCCCCTCCCGCACATGCAACGTCTCCTGCACCTACTGAGCTGACTAGGGGCGGGGCGGGGCCTCATGTTCCCGCAGTAGGGAAGAGACCAGCACAGCGCATGGCTCCTCCCTCAAAGGCGGTTGGCTCAAAGTCCGTGCAGCCTGAGTTATGGAGGCAGCGCTGGCCAGGAGGGAATATAACCTCATAGCCATTTTCACCACACTTCAAGGAAGCAACAAAGGCCCGAAGTAATCTTTGGATATACCAGGGAGCAATCGCCCTCCTCCCCAGCCAACGCTCCTGCCTCCTTCCCAAGAGGGAAGCGTTCAGGAAAAGCTTCGGCTTCTAAGCTGACAGGCGGTGTCCTGGGCTGGATTTATTGAGGACACCTAATTAAGCTCCGGAGTAGACCAGGCATCAAGGTGTTTAATTGGCAGCATGTGACTATTAGGAGCTAATTAAGTTGTTCCCCCCACACTTTAATTAATGTTTGTCATTGGGCCACTGTCTGGCTGGGATGGAGGGGGGAAGAAAGGACCCTCTGGCCGGGCCCAGGCGGAGCAGAGCAGATGGGCAGGCGTGGGCTGGGTGGAGGAGCCTGGAAGTCACTGTGAATTCACTTAATGAAAGGCTATTAGGGCTCTGCTCGTCCATCAGCCAGGGAGGCAGACAATCCTGTCTCACACCATCCAGCGCCTTCCACCTCAGAGTACAGTCGGAGGCCCTGCAGCAGCAGAAGAGCTTGTCAGGATGGCTCTCCCTGCCCCCATCTCTCTACCCTCTGCTCTCACTACCTCCTTCCCCCTGTCCTCACTCCAGCGTTCTGTTCTTTCTGTTGTTCCAGGGACACAGGCTCACTCCTGGCTCAGGGCCTTTGCACATGCTCTTTGCGCTGCCTAGAATGTCTTTCTCCCCAGATACTTACATGACTCACACCCCAGTCTTTGTTCAGGTTACTTTCCCATTAAAATTCCAATGCTTCCCTTCCCAGGCCAAAAAGAAAGAAAAAACCCATCTAAATACAATACATTTCAATATACAGTGCTTACTCATTGCTTTAGAATCCTATCCGGGGACAATACAGAAGGCAAACTAGATGATGGCAGAAAGTGTTTTGTTTTGGCCACTGCTGTGTTTCTGGTACCTGGCCTGCAGTGACCCCTGGGCAAATATTTGTTGAACAGGCAACTAGCTCAGAAATGAGATAGAGCAGACAAAGAATGTAGCATTGTGCCTGTATGCTTCGGTGCCTGGACCTCATCCCTTTCTCCTTTCCTTCCTCTCTCAGAGGCAGGAAGGACAAGAGGCCCCTGCAGCTGGATGGAGCAGCTGCAGTCAGCACCAGGCAGGAAGATTGCACCTCCAGTGGTGTGGCTCGGATGTGGTATCTCCCCCGAAGGCTCTCCTGCTGGAAGCACAGTCCCCAGCAAAGTGGTGCTAAGGCAATGGGAACTTTTAAGAGATGTGGCCCCCTAGGAAGTAATCAGGATGTGGGGGCCCACCCTTCCGAATGGCCTCACACCCACCCATGAAGTGGGTCAGGCCTCCCAGGCATGCTTAGTTCTCGAGAGAGGGGCCGTTGGTGTAAAGTGAGGCTGCCCCACGCACCTGGTCCCTTCTGCACCGTGCCAGTTCCTTTTGTGCTCCTCTGTGATGTGACCCAGCTAAGGGTCCCTGGCCAGGATGCTGGCACCACACTGTTAGGACTCCCCAGTCTCCAGAATCGTGTGTCAAGTAAATGTCCACTTCCTAAGTTCGCCAGCCTCGGGCATTTTGTCACAGCTTTACAAAACAGGCTAAGACATCTGCTGCATTCCAAACATTCTGCCTTGTACCGCAGAATTCGAGCAAGAACGTACATGCTGCCTGGCTGTAAGAAGCTCAGAACTCGGCCCCTCAGACCTCTCTGGAAAAGGCCAGAGAGTGCCCACCTTGGATTTCGCAGGTCATGCGGTTGCTGCTGTTACAGCATGCAAATAACCATAGAGAACACACAAGCAAGTGGAGGTGGCTGTGCTCTGCTGAAACTAAGTGTAGAAACTGAATTTGGATGTCACAGTTTTCTTGTGTCATAAAATATTCTTCTATTCATTGTGTTTCCTCCACCATTTAACAATGTGGAAACTGCTCTTAACTCACGTGCTGTACAAAGGCAGGCAACGGGCCAGTTTTGACCCCACAGGCAGCAGATTGCTCGCTCCCAGTGCAGAGGGGGCAAGGAGAATACAATTCCCTATCCCTATCTCCTTTCCTTCCTCTCTCCAGCACTGCAGTAAGAACAGCTACAGCTGACTCATAGTTAGGGGTGGGCCTAGTCCATAGTTAGGGGTGGGAGGGAGGCGAGATGCCCTGTGTAACCTGGAAGATGCTCTGTGTTACCTGGCTTGTAAGTTTGAAGGTATGGTGCTGCAGATGAAGTCTCAACATGTGCACAGAAGAGGCAGTAGCTGGAGAGGTTGAGGCCATGCTGGAAATGTGTAGGGAAGAGGCAGCCTAGCTGACAGCTGAGACCCAGATGGGATGGGGGTGTCTCCCAGCATGGACGGTGATGGTAACAATAGTACATTGCTAACAACAGCCAGAACATATTGAGTACACCCCATGTGCTCAAAATATACAGTGAATTTCAATTTTTAAAAATGTACCACAATAAATACATTAATCTTTCTCAAAATACCCCTTGCTTTGAAACTTTGAACACACTTATCATTCTTGCCACTTTTTAAAAAATTTTTTTAAGTTTTTTGAGACAAGATCATGCTATGTAATTCAGGCCGGCCTTGAACTCACTATGTAGTGCAGGCTGGTGTCATACGTGGCAATCCTCCTGACTTGGCCTCCTGAGGGCTGGAATTACAGGTGTGTGCTACCACACCCAGCTTTTTTCTGAGGCAGCTCTGAAAGTCTGCCTTTATGAGTGTCTTTACAATGTGTGATCAAAAATATGGTGAATGCTACTGCTGCATACCATCCAACACAAAGGCATCCTCTAAAAACATTACAGTGTGTCCTTATCCTCCCTACTCAAGCACTGAGAGCTTCTGTTTTTTCCCAAAAGTCAAAATGACCATTCAAGGTAAACGATTTGAATCAATTGAGACAAGCAAGAAACCAGGACAGTGAACTAAAGACACTCAGGAAGTGGACTGCTTCAGAAAGTGCAGAGAAAAAAAGATAAGCACCTAAAAAGTGACAGGGAGGACTTTAAGGAGGAATAGTGGCCATGTAAGATTCATTGTGACAATTTTAAAAATTTAGTATATTTTCACTGTATTTCCCATCACACTTATGCCTTGCGTGTGATGTAGCAGGCTTGACTCTTAGCATCTTAGGAACATTGTTGGTTTAATCCTCATAGCAACCCTACTAGGAAATCAATCTCACCTCCTTTTCTGAAAAGGCCAGGGCTCAGCGGGTTAACAACCTGCCCAAACACATAGTCCATGTGGAATCAGAACCTCTTCTGGATTGTCTGCCTCCAGAGCCTGCTCTGCTCCTCCTCCTCCAGGGCCTTTGATCTCCATCCCCTCCCACTTCCTGTGATCAGATGCTGCAGTCCCTGGTGTGCCTGCATTCATGTAAATAACCATTTCCTAAATACACTCAATGAAAAATCAATTACAGAGCAAAGTGGCTGTGGTTTGGATAAACAACCTAATTGTTCCCTCTGGGGCTGCTGGCTGAGCCTCCCAGTTGAGAGAGGAAAGAGAGTTCGTGTCTATCAAGAGCTCTGCTTCTGGCACTGATGTGTGCTCTTCCCTTTGACTGTTACGAGTCTCAGTCCTGCTGCCAGACTTCCCTCACAACCCCTGCCCTGGTGAGGCGCTATGTTAAAGGTAGACTCTAAGCCAGGCAGACTGGAGACTCTGACCCAGGGTGCACTCCAGAAGCCTTGCTGGAAGACGAATGCCCAGCTGCCTTGCTCTGATGAAGGGGCAATGGCCCCCCAGGAAGGCCACCTTGCCTATCCTCTTGCTCTTATGGAGGTGATGATAGCCACCTTGCCTATCCCACTGGCCCCTCATGAGTTCTGTGCCCTTATACTTAAATTGTCACAGTTAGATTTTCCTTCTTTTCAGTCAGGACATTACCTCTAGTTGTATGCAAAGATCCCCAGAAGATGTACTCCATTAAACTTTGTCAGTCACCAACACCTTCTCATGTGCTGTTTTCAGGACTCCTCAGTTAGACAGGTTGTTAAAATGAACAATTGTCTAGAGATGTAGAATTCAGGTTTAGGGCACAGTAGGGGGAGGCTGAGTGTTTAGCGGGAGAGGACCTGAAAGGAAGCCATGAGGTTCCAAAGGTCTGAGCCGCACTCCCCGCCTCCGAGGCCTGCACGCTGCTCTCACCTTACCCCTGGCTGTTACCACTTGTGCTGGGCCAGTGCAGTTGGAGATTCATGAAAAAATAAGATCCAGCTCCAAACCAGGGAGTCAGCAATGAGTCCACCAGCATACAGCGCAGCTTGTAGGACCAGAGGACACATCTGCCAGTGCTGGACTGCAGAGATCCAAGTTGTGGTCACCCCAACAAGAGGCAGCATAACTGAAAACAGCCTGAGCAGGCGTCAAGAGACTAAGATTCTGTGCTGGATTAGCTGATGGTCAGCTTGTAATGCCCAGCCGAACCAAAGCAGCGTGGCGCTGGATGTGGAGGGCCCACCTGAGGATTGCTGCCAACAGCATAAAGGGAGAACTAGAGGGGAAGATGGTGCGCTATTGATTCTCCCGGAGAAGCTTGTTGAACTGATTTTCCCGATATGAATTCAGCTACTCTCATCATCAGAGGAGCTCGGGTCCTCACTGTCGCTGAGGATGGCTGCAGTATTCTTCAGGGGAGCTCTGGTCCTTAGAGTGTCACTTCCTGACTCCAGTGCAGATCACTCAACTGCTGGCACAGATCCTTCATCCTTCTGGCACAGACTCTGTAGCCTCTACCACTGACCTTTGGGCCTTCCCAGTGCAGATCCATGACAAAGACTTGCATGAGACATTGTTGTGGGTACTAGGTCTTCAGCTGGACTCGTTCAGGACACTGCCGTGGGGTCTAAGCCCTCAGCTGGATTCTTTGGGTCTGTAATGTGTGGACAGATCTCCTGCATTCTTCTGCATTTGACTCTTTTGGTGAATATTATAAAATAATCCTATAAATTATGTGCCCTGTGTTAAATCTTTTCCCTTGTAAACCCTGACTACAACAGTATCGCTTGCACATGAGAAAAATATATAACCGTTATTTGTCTAAGCAACACACTGGAGGCTACTTGACAAGCACCCACTGCAGTTTCTTTAATGGAGCCCCTCTTCATATAAACTTGGGAAGTACTGCAGCCCAGTTATAGTTTTCCCACCTTGTCAGTTAGGGTTCCCGAGGCACACTAGCCCCCTTTGTGTCTCCAGCACTTCAGGACCTGGGTTCCTCACACCCTTGTGTCATAGCACATACATTTCCAAGCACAGACACATACAGCATCTTTTAATATTTCATGAAACGCATATTCTTCAATACATTATTTGAAAATCTTTGACATAAATGTATAAAATTCCACTTATTGAACTCCAGAATACTGAACACCACAGCAGTTCAGTCCAAAACATCAATCAAATGTTTAATATCAGATGTGACAGAACAACCCACTCAAATGTTTCCTTTTCCATTCAGTTGTTGGAGCCTCGGAGAAAGTCAGAAACAACTGAAATCCAGTGTCCAGGTACATTCTCTCTGTCTGGCTCGCTGGCTCTCTCCTTTGCTGGCCTCCTGGGCTGACTTGCTGACAAACAGTGACTTGACCACAAACAGTGTGCTCAAGCTGGCCACCTTGGAAGGCTGCCATGGTTGTGAGCAAAAATCAAGATCACCTAAGAGCTGGCTTGAGGAACAAGCAGGGGCCAGCCTCGCCTCCTGCTCCTGGGAGCTGCCTGCACAACCTAACCCATCCCGGCGGGGTGTTCAGACCGGCCACTTCAGGAATCCCAAGGCTTTTCTCACTTAAAAACCTGCTAATAGTTGGAAAGTCCTTTCACAGCACACAAAGCTCAAACTGGAAAGCTTCCCTTCAAAGTGGATTCATTGTAAATGTATATCACAAACTCTAGGACAGCCACTCTCAATGTTTTTTTCCTTAAAGAAATAAACATGCTGAAAAGAGAGAAAATGGAATGAAAATGTTTTATTTAAACCAGAGGAGGCAGAAAAAGAAAAGAACACAAAGGAAGGAAGAAAAAAGTCCCCAGGTCTCAAGATTTCCTCAGTGATGCCCTGCTCCTACGCTGGGACCAGGTAGGGAAAGGCAAGCTCAGGACAGAGAGACAGAGAGAGAGAGAGAGAGAGAGAGAGGGAGAGAGGGAGGGTGGGAGAGGAGGGAAGGGGAGAGAGAGGACGGGAGGGGAGGCAGGGAGGAAGAGGGGAGGGAGGGGACCATCCTTCAGTGTTGTACCCCAGACACCTCACTTGCTACCCCTCTTCCCTGCTGAAGCTACCGTGAACGTGCCTGCTCCCCACATAAGACACTGTCAATCTCAAGGGCTCCAGAGAGCCATCCAGTCACTCTGCTTATATTGGCTACATGTTCCCAGGTGACAAACACAAAGCAGGCAGAGGCCCTGCCCACAAGGAACTCGCCACACTGGGAAAGGAAAGATGTAAGGAGAAAGGCTAGTGCAGGCTGACTGGGACATGTACCCTAAAGAGTTTTGCATGGGAGGCAGTGGGCCAGGATGCATGCCGTGAGAGCCGGCAGGAGTTCACCTGGCCTTGGGAAAGGCACAGACCGCATCTAGGAAGGAGTGTGGGGAGTCCAGAGCAGGTAGAAAACAGCCCACCGCAGGTATGATGAGTTCTGAGTCCAGCAGGTGGGCAGGCAGCATGAACAGGTAGGAGATCGGAAAGGACAGCAGGACATGAGGTAGGAAAGGAAGAGGACTGTGAGGACCTCTAGCAGACCTATGCATACTTGTTAAGGTGTGCTGGGCCTCCAGCGGTAGTACTTGCACATCTTAGAAGACTTTGAGGCAGGAAAGGAAAAAATTAAATTCAACACCAGGTGTGGAGGTGCACATCTGTAATCCCAGCACTGGGGAGGCTGAGGCAGGAGGATCACTGGGAGTTTGAAGCCAGCCTGGGCTGCCTAGTGAACTTATGGTCAGCCTGAACTACACGGTGAGACCCTGTCTCAAACAAAAGGTTTAGATTTAGCATCACTAGCAAAGACTCAAAAGTTGGGGGTGGTGAAAAAGACCAGCAATCAGAGAAGCAATGGGGAGACTGCTGTAAGAACAGCTGGTAAGTAGTGTCTGACTTTCTAAGTCAGGTAAACTGAAGGCTAGAGGACACCACATTGCAGGGTGGAAAATTCGGTGGCAGCAGGGAACCTGCATGCCAGGCACAAGAGCAGCCCCGTCCTTCCCCGCACACCAGCCTTCGGGGTCACTGGTGAGCAGTGATGTGAAGACGGGCTCTGTGGGGCTCTGTGGCCACATCGGGGGGACTGACGCAGGGGTCAGGCAGGAGCTGTCCTTGCTCCAGCCTAGAAAGAAAAGCACCCACCTGTGCTATAATTCAAGTCTGGGAGTAAATGGACCGGTTCTACTACAACCCCCAAAAAGAACACCCCAGCCCCCACAAGCTCCCTTCCTACCTATCAGCCTATGGTCTGAGGGTGCTGTGAGTCTCAGGTGTGAACACAGGACTGTTTGGCCCCTCCGAGGTTCCTGCTGAAGCAATTCCCATACTAAACGTCTGTCCTTGTCTCTGTCCACTGTGAACACCCAGCTGAAACCATTGCCCTCTCTCAACTGCACCACGGGGACAACCTTCTGCCTGCTCTTCCCACGGAAGTTTTGTCTCACTTCTCATTCTATTTTCCACAAAAAAGCCAGAGCAGAAGATTTGAGGGACATCACTCTGCTCTGGTCACACCCCTCCTTAAATTCCTTGCTGGTTCCTTAGGGAATGGGCAGAGTCCATCCGAGGACACTGGGACCCTTCCTGCTGCAGGCTGTGAGCTTTCCTTCACTCTCCTTCCAGCCCAAGCCAGCCCAGCCTTTCTGGCCCCCAGCCCAGGACCTCTCCCCTGCCCCTAAACTCTCGAAGAGCGTCCTCAGCTCACAGGGCAGCACCGGCCAGAAGAAGCAGAATGTGAGGCCTGTGTGAGAGCTAGAGTTTTCTGAGAGCCATCCCAGGGAATGCGAAGGAAGCCCGTGAGCTCACATGGGTGCATCGTACAGCTCAGTCCTCCTGAAAGGTTAGTGCCGCCACACATAACCCACACAACACTGTCCATTAGACAGCGCGCGTGCTTCTCCTACTGTCTTCACCCCAGAGTGCACTTCACACTTCAGTTCATCTCCATATGGACTGGCTTGTAGTCCAGGGCTCAGCACAGGCTGCTGACTGTCACCAGGGCTGCCCACTGCAGCCTCCGGCCAGTCCAGGCACCTCTCCGGGCCCCATAGCTCTCTGGTTGGCCCTGCAGAGACTACTGTGGCAGAGTACCCCGGACCCAGCGGTTTCTGAACACGGAAATACCTCTCCCAGTTCTGTGGGCTGATGCCCAGGGTCAGGCCAGCCTGGTGCGGACTGCAGCTCTCAGCAGTCTGCAGCTCTCCGTGAGAGAGAAAAGTGCCTCCCTCGGCCTCTTCTAGAACAGCAGTACAGCAGCCCCATTCCTGGGATGGCTCCGTCCTCAGGACCTGGTCACCTCCCCAGCAACCGCCTTGAGGCTGAGGGCTTCCGTGGCCAGAGCTGGGGCTGTCCCGGCCAGCTCTCCTGTAACTCTCTCGCTAAGCTGGGCTCCTATCTGAACGGCAGGCTGCTGGCTGCATGGAGGCAAGGCGGGGGGGGGGGGGGCCTGTCTCCTTTCCCCTTCAGCTCTGACGTGGAGCCTGGCTGCACACACCTCAGCTATGCCGAGCCAGTGCTGGCAGAAGGGGAGGTCCTCTACAACTTCTGAAAGGTTTCCCTTCAGCTTCACTCTCCCTTTCTCTCCCACCAACCACATGCACACACAAATTCACAAGCTCACACCACACATACACACCTTCATGCTTCCTCAGGGTGGGCTTGAGCAGTCACCTCGGGTGTACCTCCTCACTGAGACACGCGCCAGGCTTCAGTTAAGGCCACAGCTAGGCCCTCTGCATCATCTCCAGTCAGACAGGGTGAGGGCCACAGGCAGCAGGGGTTAACACTTGGGGGTAAGGACCTCCTCTCCAAGTCCTCCTCTTGTGGAGGAATGCATTGCTTTGACACCTGAGGAGAACAAAGGAAAGAGAGTATTAGGAGGAACAATTAAGGCTACAACTGGCTTTTTGCCCCTGCATATTTAGTAAGCAATCCTCATCAGTTACTGTCTATTCAGCCCTCCGATGACAGGAAAGAAGAGGAGGAGCAAGAGGAGGAAGGAGAAGGGAAAGAGAGAAGGGGGAGGGAAACAGGAGGAAGGGAGGAAGGAACAAGAGAAGGGGGAGGAAAACAGGAGGGAAGGGAGGAAGGAAGGAAGGAAGGAAGGAAGGAAGGAAGGAAGGAAGGAAGGAACAAATGAAGGAACGAACAATGGAACAAAGGAATGAAGAAGGAGAAAAAAGAAAGGAAAGGAAAAGAATCTTAGAACAGCAAAACCAACACAGGTTTGTTTTAGAAACTTGGTGGATTCCCCACCCCACCCCACCCCCGGCTAGCTTTGTTTTTTAAAACAGTCTCTCTAGCAGTTCAGGCTGGTCTTGAACTCACTCTGTAGCCCAGGCTGGCCTCAGACTCGCAGCAACCCTCTTGCCTCAGCCTCCCAAGTGCTGGGATTACAGGCATGTGCCACCGCTACAAGGGATACTGAGAGACCACTAACATTTTTGAGTTGTACTGGATAAAACCCAGAGATAAGATTTTTGTGTGATTTCTTTTGAATGCAGTGTGCATTATTCAGTAGGCAGTTAAAATCTATCTTATCAAATGTATAATGAGATACATACTGCAATTACAATCAACCCTGAGACTACTTAATCTTATAAAATGTGTCCCTCCTACACTTCCTATTAATCAAAAACAAAATTAAATGCTGGAAGAAGAATTAAATGCTAGTTTCTGGACCAATTCATTTCCAGTAATATATCCCTTTCTATTTCATTAATAAGTTGGAGAGTTTATCTCAATGTCTGATCAAATTAAAGGAGTCACTTCTATATTTTTATACAAGATCTTTATTTATACCCAAAGCCAATTCTAAAGTTCAGTAGACATGCACAAGCATGTTTACTAAAGTAAAACCAAAAAAAAAGCCACAATTTTTGTCATACTTTTATGTAATAAACAACTTACTATTTTTGTTGCATATAACATTTACTTGTGACAAATTAGGTAATGAGAAACAGCATATAGATTTATTCCTGTTTTCATAATTTACTATAAATATAGATTAAATCTCTCACACCCTTTGTGATTTTGGTCTTGACTTCTTTCAGTAATTTTTTTATAAGACTAGAAGTAGTCCTTCTTACAGTGGGTTTTATATTGTTCCTCAAGACATATTTTGTAATGTTGATTTGACTTAAAATTTTAAGTCAGAACTTTTTCATACAGAAAGTAAGTGCACTTTGCAGACTAGCTTGACAAGGAAGACTAGCTTTGCTAAATAGATTATGCACAAAGCACTTTCTATAAATTAAATGAGCTAAATCTGAGTCTGGAGGTCTTAATAAAAAAGCATGTAATAAAATAAATGCATTTTTTTAACAAAATTACATAGGAGAAAGTATATTAAAGCTTGACAACATTTTAATTTCCCTACCATTTCTTAGTAGACTGAAACAAACAAATTGTCTTTTAAGTGAGAGAGAGAAAATAAATTTTGGGAAGGAATTTTTGGATATTCCCAGAAATTAAGTGAATGGTTTTAATTATAGGTGACAAATCCCTTAGGAAGATTTTTTCCATTTCAACAAAACTGAAAGAGAAAAATAATTTTTAATAATGGCAGCCGTGTCATTGTGTGATTTGGGGTATCTGAATCCCAGTTCAAACAAGTGATTAAATTATCCTAGTAAAACATCTTCCATTCCCACCAACTCATTCATGTAAGGAGATTTATCAGTATGCACATCTATAAAGCAAAATAAATTTCAATAAAGAGTGGAATTGCTGCTGCACTCTTATTCTAGCACAAAGCAATATTTATCATCCAATTGGGGGACTCGCACTAATCTCATTAAGATTTATGGTCCCAATAAATTTTTACTATTTGTTTAATTTAGCATTGACCAAACTTATGTTATATTTATGTTAATTTTGTGATTTGTTCCCTGATAACAATTATAATGATCACTCATTCAAGCAGCAATTTTAATATTTAGAACCTTAAACTAATATATTTTTATTAAAATTTCTGATTACGCATAACAATGGACAAGCACTTAACATTACTAAACTGTACATTTAAAATGGTTAAGGTGGTCACTTGTATGTTTTTTATGCAATTAAAAACTAAATTTTAAAAAATGTGTAATTATGAATACGTTATCTCGGAGGAACAGGTTGGTTGATCAGAAAAGCCCAAACAAATATAAAACCACACTGTACTGGAATAAAATTCTGTAGGAAATAGGAAGATGAATTTAGAAAGGTTAGAGGCGAACCTAAATTTCTCAGTGTTACAGAAGCAACTGCTCACACTAGCTCTGAAATATCGATGATGGCTGCCAAGTCACTGAGGGCGGTGAAGTCCACCGTGTCCTTAGTGAGGGGTAATGGTTTTATGTCAAAGAGTCCGTATGTAAAATACCCTGAAAGGATACCCTTTGGAGTAGTTTCACCTGATGCAGAAAACCGTAGAACTTACCTTGGAGATGCTGGGAGAGCTGTGTGGATGTGGGGGATCTTCAGAAACAGAGGAGCAACACAAAGGATGGTGACAGGGACCTGGGGACTAGGTCAGCCCTCGGAGTCCTGCGGAGCAGCGGTTTTTCTCCTTGTCCCTCCCATTCTGTTCCTTAGGAGCTTTGCTTTCTCCAAGAGAAAAGCAGGATGCTGTGGGCCAGAGTTTCCAAAGCGATGTGACCTTCTGTGTCCCCCCAGACCCGAACTGGAGCAGCCCAACAGCTGCTGACCCCACGCTGGGACGGCTGCAGGTGCACCATGGCCCCGAGCCCCGGACTGGTACAGCCAGGAAGCAGGAAGACCTAGCGTGCAGTTTGGAATCTCACTGGAGATGAGGGTTCCTAAGTGTGGACACCTGATTCCCGCCACCTCACTCTTGGTTTTGAGCAGGGCCGGGCTGTACAATGGAGCAAGACCACAGCACGGGTCGAGAGGAAAGCACAGCAGACTCCATACGCTGCCCCCTGAGGAGGGCAGATGCTTCTGCTGCCTTGGCAGGGCAGGGTCTTCACTGGACCCTGTTCTTATGAATTGTGCAATAGGCAGTGGGCAGAGAGAGGCATTTAAACTAAAGGTACAGCATGCAAATTCCAGACACTGACTCCATTCTGGAAGAAACAGAGCAGGCGCTCACCCTGATGGACAGAGATAAAAGACAGGCCACCCCATGGGAGGTGGGTCCCTGGGGGCTTCTCTGTGGATTGCCTGCTGGGACCCCCAGAATGTCCCACCTCCCCTCTTCTACAGCTCCCGGTAAGGGTGCATCCCCGGTAGAAATAAGTAGATTTACCCTGGTGTGCTTCTTTGTTTTGTTTTTGTTTCTGATCAGAAGGGGAGAAATAGCTTTTGTTTCCTTTTCTTCCCAGTTGGCTAAACATGACATCCGCTCCCCAGGCTTGGAGAACAACTTGACTAGCAGTGTGAGGCATTAGACAGGACAACAGCCTGGGGTATTCTCTTACGGAATGAGGAAAGCCCAGGCTGTCCTCACTTCTGAAATCTGTGGCAATCATCAGGAAAAAGCAGCTGTCAAACTCTCCTCCTGCGCCAGTGAGGCCACCAGGCTGCTGCAGTCATTCCGTAATTGGTTTATTAATCTGCGCAGGACCCGCTTCTGTCTCCTTGTGCATTGCTAGTTAAGCAGGGCTGGACTTCGTAAAAACGTTTAATTAAGCTCCAAAAGCCGCAAGACTTCTCCCCTCTTGGCTAACCTCTCCCACTTGGCCGGATCCCAGCAGGAGCTGAAATAAACAAGTGATTTTGCCTCTGGTCCATCTGCTCCCACCTGGGGTGGAGAGGTGAGGGGAAGACATCGGAAGGAAGACATGCCCTCCTCATCTGAGGGCTGCTGCGTGCCGTGGCAGGAAGGCTGCTGTTTTGCAGAGAGACATTAATTAAGAGTTGTACAGGGAAAGCAAAGGACACTGTTCAAAATGCTATGTGTAGCGCTTTCTTTCCAGCTGCTCGTACTTGTTTGGGAAGATCTGCCCACCACCACCGAGTGTTCCTTCTCCAGGATTCTCTGGACTCCAGGAGACAGTGCTTCCGGCCTGGGAAGGGGTAGAGAAAACAGAAAGCCAGGAAGAGGAGATGGGTCTGGGAGAAGTGCCCTTTAGTGTGTCTGACACTTGCAATCTAAGGCTATGTGCACATCCGTCTCATCCAATCCACTGCGAGTCCAGACAGGCAGTGGCTAAACATGACCAGTGCCTAGCATGGGGCAGGATGTTTGGAAGGAGGGAAGGAGGTGGGGGAGGTGAAGTCGGTGGGCAGATGGGTGCTGTGTGGATGGACAATGAGATAGTGATATGGACCAAGGATGCCGCTCACTATTACCCAGGTCCCTTGGTGCTAGAAACCAAGCCATGGTGTTCTTCCCACAGAGGAGTCTTCCCAGGAGCGTGACTTGTATGAAGTCAGCACAGCATGCCCCCAAAGTAACACCCTCAAGAAGAGGGGGAAAGTCTCTACCACTTGTTTGGAAGACACCAAACAACTCAGTGCTTGGGTTGGGGAGGTTGGCTTTATTTATTCATCTATTTATTTTTACTGAATTGTGTCCATAGGGCACTCAGAATAAACAAAACTGCCTACATTAAATCCACCATCTGAACATTTCTAAACATCTGGATATCTGGCATTGCACTGACCACAGAGTTGCAGCCTCAGGCAGACAGAGGGCAGGGGGCCAGCATGAGGAGAAAGGCACTGAAGCCAGTGTCTGACAGTGTCCCTCTTTCCAACCCTCTGCCGTTGTCAGGCTAGGCCCAACTTTTAATTTAGAAAACATGGTCACAGTAGTTAGAGGAGTAAAAGAAAAGGTCCAAGGAAGGGGAGAAAGGTGGAAGGGATGGAAGGGTGGGAAGCAGCCATGGCAGGAGCTGGTGGGGCACGTCTTGGAGCCCCTAAACGCAGCAGGCGATGGCACTTGACACCCTCGGGGGGCTCCCCACAGCTGCCACTGAGGACAGGCTTGCACTGCCCTCGCCCCAGGCCGCCACCTGGCTGGATATGGCCTGCTTCTCTCAGGCTTCACCTTTCACTGATTTAGTAATGCTGCCACTTTTGCTCACTCCAGCAACATGAGCTCCGGAAAGAAAAGAGAAACTCTCCCCACGGGACAGAGAGGGAGCCAAGGCCAAGGCAAGCAGAAGCTCCCTCTTCCAGGCTGGCGCCTGGGACTTGCTGCTTCAGAGAAGCCACTGTCCACATGTGAGTCTGAGCTGAGAAGACACTGGGAGATGCTTGGACTTGGGAGAAGGAAGTCACCCCTCAAACACAGCCCCCAGCATGCCCACACTCACAGGTGCCCACGCCCATGCCCTTTGTCCTTATGACCCCTCTGCCTTTAGACCCTTAAAGAGTAAAGCCCTCGCTGCTGAGCTGCATTCCCTCGCTGCTCCGCCTTCCCGGCTGGCTGGAGATGTTTTTGTTTTCCGTACTGGGTGATTGATTATAGAACAGCAAATGAGCTCCCACTGCTTTTAAGATGCATTTTTTTCCTTAAAGAGAGAATGATGTGAGCACTACTTCTCCCCGCCCCCTGCCTGCCTCAGCGGTCCATCTGCAGCCTCAGCAGCTTAGAGGGACCTTCAGGGAAGGGAGAGGGAGCACACACTCCACCAGCCCAGCCACAGGGCCCACACCCATGTGACCAGGTCCTGGAGCCACTCTGCATCCCCACCCGTCCTCCTCCCCAGGGAAGCTCACTGGGGAACCAGGCATTCCTACGCCTCTCCTGCCGGTGCCCGTGAATCAGCTGCCTGACACTGTGGACCCTAGGAAGGAGTGGAGGGATAAGGAAGAGTGAAGCATAAACACTAGGAGTGCAACCTAACGAAGTAGATGTGCCCTGGGCTCCAGTGTTCTCTCTCTCCTTCTCTCTTTCCTTCCATTTTCCCCTCTGCACTGTAGCCTTTGCTACCCAAAGTGGTCCCAGGACAGCAGTGTGCGTGGACAGTCTACTGGGAGCAGCGTCCCAAGGTGGCCACGTACAGATGCAGCTTCAGGAAGCTCTGCTGAGCAGTCCTGAGCAGAGGACAGCCCACAAGACAGCCTCTGGAGGTCCCTCACTGCCCAGTGCTTCTCCAAGTGACATTGGGTTGAGATGGCTGTCGAAGGTGAGCTCAGGGTCGCTGCAGACCTGGAGCCCAGACTTGGGGAGGGAAGAGCGAAGCTCAGCCCCGTCTTTCTGTTCCCTCCCTTCCTACTGTGCCGTGCCTCTGGAGTCCCAGCTGACAGATCCGGAGCGCAGCACGGCTTTGCTCTGACTAATTGCCAACAGTTGACTGCAGCTCCATTCGGTATTCAAAAAGCCTCATTAATCTCCTAATGCCAGTGCAGCCACCATTGCTAGTGCTGTCCTCACCTCCCACACCCAGCTCCAGGCAGGGCCTGCTGGTTCCTCTGGCAGCACGTAGAGGAGGGTTTCCTTCCTGGACCTAAGCTGGAGCCTGACACAGAGACCTGGGTCAGTCAGGACCTGGCAGAGCCCTGCCTCTGGCTGGAGTGGTCCTAGCAGGCTGGACCCAATTCTGTGTCACCCTCGGAGCCTTGAAATGTCAGGGAGGGGGTGTCTTCTGGAAACATCACCAACAGGGTTACCGAGAACCCACGGGTGAGCAAGCTGTTTTCCCACTGGCAAATCAAGGAGCTACTGTTCGGGGAAGCTGTTAGGGAGTTTAGAGGCAGCCACAAGGCGCACTGCAGCAAGCTTGTGAGGGAGCCTGGGAACTGCAGAGCGCATCACCAAGCCTCAAGTCTGTGATTCCAGCTCATACCCTACAGCCTCAAGAGTACGCCCAAGCCTTTCTGCTCTGTGCACTGTCACTGGGGCCTTGTCTTCCCAGGACGGTGAGTTCCAAGCAGACAGGGCCTGCTGTGTCTCCCTTACCTGCCCTTGGTGCCCAGGAGCCCTGCTGACCCACAAGCCAGCCACCCGGACTCATGCCGGGACCTGGCCCAGGTAGGCCACTCTGGCAGCTGGGCTGAGGCAGCCACGGTTTAAGCCTCTGTGTTAGCCAGCTTTCCTATTGCTGAGACCAATACCTGACACCCGTAGCTTAAAGGATGAAAGGTTTGATTTAGCTCACATTTCCAAGGGTTCAGTCCATGGTCAGCTGGCTTCAAGGCGGGAACATCATGGTGGAAGGACACAATGAAGCAAAGCTGGCTAGTTCACGGAAGCCAGGGAGCGGAGCAGGAGAGGATACCAGGGAGAACCATGTGGGGAATCACCTAAAGCATCCAAAGTCACCTCTGTGACCCACCCAGACACACCAGGAGCTTGCACTATGAAACTGCTAAGGGTTTCTTAGCTCAATGACATCAACATATCAGGATTTACAGTAAAGTCTCTATCTGCTTTTTTCCTTCCAACTTTTTATTATAAAAGTTTTCAGACAGAAAAATTGAAAGAATGATACAGAATATGTTGAGTAGGACTGGTAGGTATATGGGTGTCCACCACTTTTGCTGGTTTTAGTTTTCAAATGTACACACCCTCTGGCCTCTAGTTCTGTATGCGTTGTAGAAGCCTCTGGGAGCCAGCCGCCCTCCCAGCAAAGTATTCCAGTATTTGTTGGAGCAATACTGCCCTCTGCTGGCCACAGACTCTCATGTCTCAGGGTCAGCTCTGCGTAGCAGAGAAAGGGCTAGATAAGATGATTCCTCCTGTATCAGCCCTTTGTCATTGATAACTCACAAGGCAACTCACCCCCCCCCCGGGGGATTTAAGCTCTTTTATTAAGGAGTTAATAATAACTTCCTCTTCACCTGTTCCCCTCCAGTTCCCCTCAACAAAAGCCAACCCCACCCTTATCCGCCTTGGCAGAACCAGACGTTCAATTCTGACGAACGATACCCCCCAGCCCCACTCGAGCTGTTCTGACCCACGGACACCCCCTGCTTGGACTGTTCTGGACTGCGGACACCCTCCCCGAAAAATAGCTTCAAAACCCCACGCTTTGCTCAGCTCAGGTCTGTCCTAGTCCACTGGGCAGCCTGCCGTGTTGCTCTCCTGCCAAATAAAAACTCCTCTCGTGTCAGAAGGTTTGGTCTGGTTCTGTGTGGGTCTCAGCCTGATCATTTGGTGCCAAAACCCGAGAGGGACACCAGGGCTCTAGCTGGGCCCTCCTGATCAGGGACCCCTCCCGAGGTCCACAACTGACCACCTCTGAAGCGGACCTCAAGCCCCAGACCTGCCACATTTCCAACTTCGCCATCCACCCAGCGCTCCCTCCTAACCGTAAGTCCCCTTTTTCCTGCCTTGTTTTCCTTTCTCCTCCTCACACTCCTCTTCCTGACTTAAACCTTCTTCTCTTTTCTCCCAGAGGACCCTTCTGTCACACTTCTTGGATGGCTCATTCTCCTGGCTTCACACCCCTGGCCTTTACGGTCCCTCCCAAAATCCTGTCGACACATCGAGCTGCTCCTTCTCTTCTCATGACCCCCTCCCTGGCTGGAGATGTCCCTCCGGGGCCCTGGGTCTCTCATCCCATTTGGGACTTCTCTTGGTCGACAGTCGTCTTCAGTCTCCTCATTCTCTGCTCTCTCGTCTCTCCTTTGGTCATCATGGGCAGCACCTCCTCTCTCCCCTGCTCTCCCAGTGCCTCTGTGCTCCATTGCCTGAAGTCTGTTCTCCGTGGCCCCCTCGGCCTCTCTAATCTCAAAGTCAAATGCCTCACCTTCCTCTGCCAAACTGCCTGGCCACAATACAAACTAGATAATGGGTCTATTTGGCCACCCGAGGGTACTCTCAACTTCAGTGTCCCACAGGACTTAGACAATTACTGTTGCCACAATGATAAATGGTCCAAGGTACCTTATGTCCAAGCTTTCTTTGCCCTCTGTAACAAGCCTTGACAGTCTTCCCTGTAGCCCCCAGGAGATTCTCCTGGCCAAATCCCCCTCCTCTCGGCGCCACCTCTCCAACGACCCTCCCCAAACCTCCTCCTTCCCTGAGCCACTTGACTGTTGGCCCTCCAGACCAACTCCAATGACCCCCCACCCTATGGCCCCACTGCGACCTCAACCCCAGCATCACCTCTCCCTTCCCCACGTGCCTCCCACACCTGCTCCAAAATTGCCTCATCGGCTGCTCTGCCTGCTCTTCCCCTTCCGCCCCATCTGGGCTTTTCCCTCTGAGACAAGTGGCAGGAGCAGAGGGACTCATCTATGTCCATCAACCTTGGTCTCTCCCTGATGTTTCACAACTTGAAAAGCATCTTTGCTCTTTCACTTCTGACCCCTCCTCATATATCAAAGAGTTCCAATACCTAACCCAAATGTACCAACTTACTTGGAATGACCTCTACACTCTTCTCTCTTTCACCTTCACCCCAGAGGAAAAAGAAACCATCTGGATAGCTGCCCAGGCCCATGCGGATGAGACATGCCACACAGATCATAACTTTCCCCTGGGAGGACAGGCAGTCCCTGGGGCTGATCCCCAATGGGACTACCAGCCCAACACTCCAGGTCCTCTAGCCCAAGATCGAATGATTATCTGCCTTTTGGCAAGCCTCAAAGAGACAGCCCGTAAGGCAGTAAACTGGGATAAGCTGCATGAAATCACACAAGATCCCACTGAAAACCCTGCCTCCTCCATGGCACATCTTTTGGAGGCCCTCACTAAATTTAGACACCTTGACCTAGTCTCAACAGAGGGCCAACTGGTCTTCAACACCTCCTTCATCTCTCAGTCAACACCTGACATTAGAAAAAACTCAAACGCCTTGAGGAGGGACCCAACACCCCCTGCCATGAACTTTTAAACAGCCTTCAAGGTATTTAATGGCCACGAAGACATGGAAAAGGAGGAAAAACTTGCCCACACCAAACAAAAATGTCAGCTTCTTGCAGCAGCTCTCAAGCCTCAGGCCCCCAAACAGTCCACTCAGCTCCCAACCAACAAGCAGCCTCCGGGGCCCTGCTTCAAATGTGGACAACAGGGCCACTGGGCACTATCGTGTCCTAACCCCCAACCACCCACAGGACCCTGTCCACAATGTAAGCAAACTGGGCACTGGAAGGTAGATTGCTCCTGCCTACAACGGGAGAGGTCCTCTGCCCCTGCTCAACAGCCCAAACCTAAGCCGTCCCTAATGGACCTGCTTGGTATGGCCAGAGAGGACTGATGGGGCCCAGAACTCCAAACTCTCACCGACAAGGCAGACAAGATCCTGCTGTCATCTGAGGAGCCCAGGGTAAAAGTCCAGGTGGCAGGTAAGTCAATTTCCTTCCTTGTTGATCCAGGGGACTCCTGGCCCATTCTCCCCAGCTTTTCTGGTCAAACATTCCCACCAAAGATCACAGTTGTTGGGGTCTAGTGGTCTCCCCAACATCCCCTCTCCATGGGTCCCCTACCTTGCTTGATTGGATCTAGGTTATTTACCCATCCCTTTCTCGTAATGCCTAGGTGTTCCACTCCCTTGCTGGGGTGGGATGCACTCACCCAGCTACACATCACACTCTCCTTCCCAAAACCCCTTTCGCCATCGCTGCTCATAGTCATCCTCCCGTTTTCCCTGTCCCCACCCACAGATAACTGGGCAGATCCCTCCTTTCCATTTGACAATGTCGATCCAATGGTTTGGGATACCTCACAACCCATGGTGGCTCAACACCATCATCCTGTTATCATGACTACCCAGGACCACTCAGTTTTCCCAACTGCCCCCAGTTCCCTATTTCGCTCAGACACTGACTAGGGTTAAAGTCCCTTATTGACCGGCTCCTCAACCAAAAACTCCTCATCCCTACACACTCCCCATACAACTCCCCTATCCTCCCCATCATCAAACCTAACTGCTCTTACAGGTTTATCCAAGACCTCCTCATCATTAACTCAGCTATCTGCCTTGTCACCCCCATAGTCCCTAACCCATACAACCTTCTCAGCCATATCTCACCAGGCACAACCCATTTCTCAGTTTTCAACCTTAAGGACGCTTTCTTCACTATTCCCTTAGACCCCTCCTCCTACCCACTTTTTACCTTTACCTGGGAAAATCCCATCACACAGATCACTTCACAACTAACCTGGACCATCCTCCCACAGGGATTCAGGGACAGCCCACACTACTTCGATCAGGCTCTCATGACCAATCTGGCCACCTTAGACCTCAAATCCAGTCACCTGCTCCAGTACATAGATGACCTGCTCCTATGTAGCCCCTCTCTTCACCTTTCTCACCTCCACACCACTCTACTCATAAACTTTCTCTCCCAAAAGGGCTATCGTGTTTCCAGAACTAAGGCACAGCTCTCTCTCCCCTCGATCTGTAAGCTGGGGTTCCAACTTACACCCACTACAAGGGATCTCACGGTAGACCATAGGGAGGCCCTCCGTTCCTTGGCCCCCCCTACTAAAAAACAACAGGTCCAATCTTTCCTTGGCTTTGTGAGGTACTTCTGCTTGTGGGTCCCCTGCTTCACACTCCTGGCTAAACCACTGTATGATGCTATTCGTGGGCCACAGGATGAACACCTAACAGATCCCCATCTTGTCGTCCAGGCCTTTACCCCAATCAAAACTCTGCTTCTGCAGGCGCCTGCCCTTGCCCTTCCTGATCCAACCCAACCCTTTCACCTATTCACTTCAGAATCTCATAGAACAGCCTGAGGAGTCTTGGGTCAGTATAAGGGCCCAGATTTTACCCCCACAGCATATCTATCTAAATAGCTGGACCCAACAACACGAGGTTGGCTTCCTTGCCTTAGGGCTCTGGCAGCTGCTGCCACCCTGATGCAGGAAGCCCAAAAACTAATACTCCAGGGGCAGATTACAGTCTATTCCCCCCACCATCTCACGGACCTCTCACGCCAAGCTCTATGCATTCTAGCTCCCTCTCACCTCCAACTTTTTCACCTCACCTTCATCAAGAACACTCAGGTCTCACTAAAGCTCTGTGGAACCCTCAACCCAGCATCTCTCCTTCCTCTTTTAGAAGTACAGTCCACACATTCTGTTTGAAATCCTTAACTGACCTCATCCCTACTGCCACCTCAGTACATACCCAACTCCTACCCTGAGCCCAACACACCTGGGTCATAGATGGGAGCTCCTCCTCCAGCCCAGATGGACCTCAAGCAGGATATGCTATAGTCTCTTTGACCCAAACGATTGAGGCCAGTCCCCTTCCCCCAGCACTTCATCACAAAAGACAGAACTCATAGACCTTACCTGTGCCCTGACCTTGGCTGCAGAAACCACTGTAAACATTTACACAGATTCTAAATATGCCTACTACATAGTCCATCACCATGCTGCCATATGGTGGCACTGGAAGGTAGATTGCCCACAAAAGCCTCTTCCATGCAAATGGCAAGTTAATCCTTCAACTCCTCTCACCCGCCACCCTATGACCCAGGTTGCCATCATCCACTGCTGTAGCCTTCAACAGATCACTGACAAAATCACAGAAGAAAACAATTGGGCAGATAAAGCAGCCAAGTTGGAGGCCCTCCAGCGATGGCCACTCCCTAGTCTCCCTCTTAGCACCCGGGCCTTTGTTGCCCTCCCTTTATATCCCACTGGGTTCACCTACTCAGACACACAGCTCAAACAACTATCCCAAAAAGGTGCTTCCCCTGGTCCAGAGGGCTGGCTTCTCTTGGATGGGAAGTACTATCTCCCAGATGACCGTGCCAGACAGTTCCTTAGCCAACTACACAACTCTCTACACATAGGCTGGAGACTACTAAAAAGGCTCCTAGACCCCATCATCTTCTATCCTGGCCTAACCAGGACATATCCTCAAGATGCACAGTATGCTCCAAAACAAACCCACAAGGCTCTCTTTGACCTCCCCTCACTTTTTCCCCACATCAGTTTAGGGGAACACTACCAGGAGAAGACTGGCAAATTGACTTTACCCACATGCCCAGGCACAAAAAACTCCAATCCATCCTCACTTGGGTGGACACATTCACAGGATGGATAGAAACCTTCCCCACTTCACATGAAACAGCAGACACTGTCACATAGACCCTTCTCACAGAAATCATTCCCGGTTTCAGCCTACCCCAATCCATTCAGTTAGACAATGACTGGGATTCATCTCCAAAGTCACCCAACAAGTTTCACAGGCCCTTAACATCCATTGGGCCCTGCACACTCCCTACTGCCCTCAGTCTTCAGGTAAGGTAAAAAAGCTAAGCATCTCCTTAAGGTACATCTCTCTAAGCTCTCCATAGAGACTCAGCAGTCATGGCCATCCCTCTTGCCTATGGCCCTGACCCGGCTTCACCCTGCCCCCTGCAAACTCTCTGGTCTCAGCCTCTTTGAACTCATGTATGGACAGCCTTTTCTCCTCCAGCTTCCCACCGCTGCTCCAAGCCCTCTTGCTAATTACCAGCCTCTTCTCTCCCTTACCCGTCACCTCCTCCGATCCTATGCAGACCAGTGTTCACTAAAGCCTGACAAAAACTCAGCTCCTTTGGAGGTTCAGCCCGACCGATTCCTCTACCCACCTGGGTGCTGTTGGGACCCATTGACCTCATTTGTGCTCTCCTCTCACAGCACTTTGCATTTTCTCCCTCATTCGCAGCACAGTCTAAAAATTAACAACTCAAAATTTTAACCTTGTGCTTCTTTCAGACTTCCAATTCCAGCCAGTCCCAACTGATGACCTAGACAAAATAACTACACCCCATCCTCAGCAGGAAGTAGCTACCGACAAGACAAGTCACCCCTATCCTTATTAGACCAAGTCTGAAATGATAAGTTACAAGGCAACTCACCCCCCCCATGGTGGATTTAAGCTCTTTTATTAAGGAGTTAATAAAAACTCCTTCCTCTTCACCTGTTCCCCTCCAGTTCCCCTTGACAAAAGCCAACCCCACCCTCACCTGCCTTGGCAGAACCAGATGTTCAACTCTGATAAACAACACCGCCAGACACACTTGGGCTGTTCTGACACACAGACACCCCCTTCTCAGGATGTTCTGGCCATGGACACCCTCCCCCCAAAATAGCTTAAAAACCCCACACTTTGCTCAGCTTGAGGCTGTCCTAGTCCCCTGGGCAGCCCACCTTGTAGCCCCCCTCCACAATAAAGACTCCCCTTGTGTCAGAAGGTCTGGTCTGGTTCTGTGTGTGTCTCAGCCAGATCATATCAGTCATATTCGCTTCACAAGCCAGCTTTGCTTGAGATGCACCCAGGCAGAGCTATGGTCACCAGACTGAGGTCCATCTAGGCTCAGATAACTAAACAACGTGTTAAGCCAGCAAATGTCTTGTATCTTCATTTTCCTACAGCCACTTTTAGAGGAATAGCTAGAGCACCAGGGCTGAATGCACAGCTGTGGATAAGAACACTGACAGCTTCTTGCTTGGTGAACCAGGAACACTCATGCACTTTTTTCCTCTGGGGTAAGGAAGGCTATACAGCAAATCGTGAGCAAGAATGCAATTACCTGGATGGATTCAGACATACCGGGGCAGGACTAAAAAATATTCACCTTCTAGAAGCAGCAAATGAATTGACCCAGGTGGTTCATTGACTTTAGGTAAATACCTTGGCCTTTCACATGTGTTCTGTTAGATATTCCAAGCTGATGTTTGAATATCTCTGCTGATATGAAAGGTGTAGTGCAGAATCGACCATCCAAAACCAAGGCAGCCTGTGGCTCAAGTTCCCTGAGGAACTGGGCATGAGAAGACAGCCTCCCACCTGGGAGCTCTCTTGAGCAGCTGTGTTGCTTTGGGGTTTTTGCAAAGGGGAACAATATAATACAGGACACAAATTTTATAAGATTATTTATAATAGTCACCCAAAGAATCATATACAAAAAGAGAGTGCAGGAAATCTGTCCACATGCTAAAGGCCAAAGAATTCAGCTGAGGGCCTGGATCCCACAGTAATGTCCTGCATGAGTTCAGCTGAAGACCTAGAGCCCATGACAATGCCTCCCACCAGTCCAACTGGAGGCCATGACAATGTCTCATGCAGCCCTGTTTCATGGAT